AAGGTGTGCTACAGATGACTGCAGTGTTTTATTGCTCACCGGGTTACATAGGCTGAAGCAGGAAAGCTTCAGAAAACTGGTGCCATAAACTGAAGCCTAGGAGGACACTTAAGCGTATTACTCATACAGAGATTGGGATGTTGTTTGATGCTAAATTGCTTTTAATTGTTTAAATTAAACGTAACTGAATGATATTAAAGTGATGTTTACACCATGTTACTGCAATGCTTACAGTGCTGGTCCTACATGTCTGGGTTTCTTCCCACCGCAGCCTTGCTTTGGTTCTTTAAAATGGCAGCTGCGTAAAATAAGCGTATTAACTGAAAGAAGGATATTTCTGGTCACAGTTTGACACAGACGAGTTGACAAATCAGCGCTGATGCTGATCGCCTCTGTGCTGCCTGGAACTGTGTCATAAACTCAACAGATAGGCTATAGTGTCGGCTACAACCAACAAACCAACTTTTTACCATTTAGAAAGTTATTATTAGTTTTTATATAATATACATTTTTAAATAGCCTACATAGCCTAATCTACGAATCAAACAAATTTAAAGACTTTCTGTACCTTTAAAAACCTGTTTTAAGAGTTCACACTTAGCTGATGATTGATTATAAAGCTTGTTTGGCATGCTGTCTCGGGAGAGAGCCCTGAGCACATAAGATCCTCGAGCCCGGGGCTCCCTCCTGTTTGCGAGGCGAGAGGGAAGTTTGAGCTCAGGTAGATCTCGAGAACTCCCCTGCTGTAGTAGCTAATGAACAGATAGTGATTGCTCTTAGGAGATAACTATTTACAAGGAGCATGTTTATGGTGCTGACTTGAATTAGTCAATTAACTTAGGTTGCATGTTTTTTGACGGTGGGATCACGGGAAGAACGTGTAAACTCTGCACTGAAACGTCAGCTGGCTTGGTAAGGACTACAACCAGTGGCGTTCTTGCTGTGAGGCAACAGTGCTAAACAATGAGCCACTGTGCCACCCATATAGAAAAGGAGGAGGAGTAGGGGTGGAAGGGGGGATTCTTCAAAATGAAGATGGCTGTTATATGGAACTTAGAGTATTTATAGTGCTTAGGAATCGTCTGATTGGTTAATCATAAATTAAATAATGCAGAGCTGGCTGCAAGCAATCATAAGCACGTGATCCTCTTGAAATTAGTTTGAAATAAACTTCACTAAGAACAAAACTGTACCTATCGCCCCAGTGACAGATTTTGTACCATCATTTCTGAAAGTGTACGAAAAGCTTACAAAAAGCTTTGCGTGGCATAAACATTTATTTTGTTGTAATCGCAAAGTACATCATGAATTTTTGTAATACATTTTAGCCTAAATCTGACAATGCTGTTGTATCCTTTCTTCTTTATTGCAACAAAAACTAACTAATGCTAAAACAGCTTCATGACCCCCTCAATTCATTATTTATAAATGCAGCACTGTTTACATGATGCAATCAATAGTATGCTATTCCCAAAATTAAAAAGCAAACCTACAACATAGGGAATTGTGTTTCAGGGATTCTGTGGCCATGTTTTTGCATAATTCTTTAATGAATCGGGCACCAAAACCACAGCGGGTGCATTCTCATCGACTTTCTCCATCAGATATCCGAAGAACTGTGGAGTCAAGTGCCGAGTTTCATTGCAAAGGTGCATTTGAAAAGCAGTAGCAATCGTTTTCATGCATGAATATTTAATAATGTTTTTAAGTGCTTGCGCGGCAGGTCATACATGTATTGTTGTGTTGGTGGGATGCAGGGATTGTATAATGTTATTTACGAGCACAAACATGAAAGGACTAAGCGACTGACTGTGAGCTTCCCTTGAGAAGATGGTTCCGGCTGGATGTATGGCTGGTTACCCTCAGTGGCTCAGGCAAAAGCCATTTGGAAGCAAGATGGATGACTCGAGGGAAAAATAAAACGTACCTTTGAGCATAAAAACCATTTCACTCTAAATAATTCAAAAGCCTTGCTGTTAATGTCGCCCCACTTCTTCAGATTGAAAGCAAAAATAACACGGGAAAAACAACAACAGACCTGAATGAAGACCTGCAGACTGTAGAGCTTAGGAGAAAAGTGAGCTGAAATTTAATATCCAACATTCGTTTAAATTTAAAGGACAGTTCTTACATTTATAGGATAGTGGCAAGGTTTATATTGGGGTTTATGATGAGGTCAAAATTATAAGCCTTCCTGTGATGTCTTTGGTTTTTTTTTCAAATATTTCCTAAATGATGTTTAACAGAGCAAGGAAATTTTCACAGTATTTCCCATAAAAAATGAATAAATAAATAAAAATAAAAATAAACTTCTAGAGAAAGTCTTATTTGTTTTCTTTCCAGCAGCGTTGATCTATTAAAAATTATATATATATATATATATATATATATATATATATATATATATATATATATATATATATATATAAAGTAAACATTCAGCACATGCAGAGGTTTACAACGTTGGCACAGATGTTCCCTGAAAGTTTTAATACATGAATCACACCAGTGTGATTTTACCTTCAATTTAACACTCTGCCATATCTATTCAAACAATGAGTTCTGATAAGGATTTAAAACAGGATATAAAACCACTCATTACTTCGAAATAATAATATTTTTTATAGTGTAACAAAATCTTCATGACTTTATAAGTAAACCTTAAAATACAGTATACAACTATGCTAAGGCAGTTCATGGCCCCTTTAAAAGAAGGTCAAACATTTTATGCATCATTAAGTCATATATTCTCATGGATAAGGCTACAGTGCAAGCAATTCCACTACGGTGGCCGAGAGAGTTTAACGTCTTAATTTAAGAAAACACCAGCAAAATAAAAAAAGATCTTCTTCAGTTTAACAACACACATGCTGCAAATTCTCACAACACAAACAACTGAAGAAAACATGCTACATTTTGTTACAACACATACAACTGAAGAAACGCACTGCATTTTGTCACAACACGTGCAAATATCCATGTAACACAATGGAAATGTTTCAAGTGGACAAAAACATGTCGGACACTGCTGACATATGGATGTGTTACTATGACGTCAATGAAGTTGTTGGTGGTCTTTTAAAAGGTAAGTTTTTAATTAATTAATTAATTAATTAATTAATTAATTAATTAATTTATTTATTTATTTATTTATTTATTTATTTATAATCTGTTTACACGGATTACAAGGAACCAATATCACAACAATGAATAGTCATAAAAGAACTTGTTAAAAATAAAGTCTTTATTTTATTTTATTTTATTTTACATATATAGAATTGTGCAGCAAAGGTATGCTACTTTTAGAATCAATACTGACCTAAACATTTATTTTCTAGATTTTTCTTGTGTTGTCTGTGTAATTGTTTGCAGAGACTGCTGTGTCATTGTTTGAATGGGTTTTCTGCATCTGGCCTATTATTGCTGGATCATCAATTTCAGACTTACTCCCCCATACGTTCACATAGAACTGCTGAATGGCTGCTGGAATTTGACACTTAAGAACAAAGTTATTTTAATGGTAATTGGCATTAATATTAGAAAAATAAATCTTCCAATGTTTAAAGTGTCCCGGTTATTGTATTTTTATGTTTTTAATTTCGTTTTGGAGCCTCCCATAGTACGTTAACATCTATGCAAGGTCAAAAAACCCTTATATTGTGTCATATTATACAGTGGGGGACATAAGTATTAAACATGTCACCATTTTTCTCAGAAAAACAGATTTCTAAAGGTGCTGTTGACTTGACATTTTCACTAGAGAAATCCATATAAAGAAAACAAAACAGTTTAGTTCACAAATTAAGTTGTGCATAATAAAATGACGCAGGGAAGTAGTATTGAACAAATGAAGAAAGGAAGGTGTAGAAAGGAAGTGAAAGCCCAAACAGCAGCTGAAATCTCTCAGTAGTTCTTCAGCAACCCTCTGCCCTTTGTCATGATTATTAGCTGCTTCAGCCTAACATCTACATTAGCAGGATGATGAAGATAAAACCAGGTTGGACATTTCAGCAAGATAATGATCCAAAACACAGCCAAGGAAACTCTCAAATGCTTTCAGAGAAAGAAAATCAACCTGTAGAATAGCCCAGCCAATCACCTGACTTGAATTTAACAGAAAATACAAAATACAGATCAGATTGAGACCCATAAATCTTTAAGATTTTTTACACTCAGCTGAAGTCTGTGGAAAAAAAAAAAAAAATCACACCTGAGGTCCAAAAATTTTTAAATGTGATTTACGAGAAAGAAGTGACGACCATCCTTGATGGAAAACATCAGTAGAATGAGCCAATCTTCCAAAGAAGTGCAAACGTAGATGATTCTAAAAGAATATGACATTGTCGTGTTCGTGTTCTAAGATGCAAGTAAGTTATTATATATTAAAGGGCTTCTCTTAATGCAGCAACTTTCATTTCCCTTTTGATATTTGGTGCCAGTTTATTGGAAAGTGACGATTTTGTTCTCTTGAACTCGTGGGATGGAAACTGTGCCTTAATCGCAAATGTTTTGTGCAATACTCCAGTTTTGCGATAAAATTTAATTTCAAAATAGTCTCATTCTGAAAACATAAACCTATATGCATTTTTGGAGATCAAGATTTATGTAGCCAGAAGTACGTATGGCTGCATTTCATTTTTAAAATGAATGCTTTAGGGCGGTTTTACGCCTGATCTTTTTGTGTTTTCCAGCTGACTGCTTACCTCAGTATGGATGGCTTTCTGGCTGTTACTAGTTTTTTTTTTTTTTTTCCACACTGAAAAAAATGATTTAGGCCTCTATTAAATTAAACATAATTCAATTTAGTTTATTTTAAACAATTTAATTTAGTTGTTGATTTTATTAAATTATTATTAATCGGGTTTAAGTGAATTAGATGTGTTTTGAACCAATCTAAATTAATTAATTAAAGTCTATTAGAAAAAATTATGTTAGCTTTGTGCGCATGCGCGTTATGTTCCGTTGCCTCGGCGCCAAAGCCCAAAGGAAGGTTTACAGATTCCAGTCAGATTGAAGCAAGACGCCACAGCCGGATTTCTGTACATCCATTTGCACAGTAAGTCACATTTTATATTGTACCAGACTGTTTATTAAAGAAAAACTTTGTGGGTAACATAAACGCATAAAATGGTCTCTCGTTCGGACTGTCTATTTTGGTCGTTTTTAAATTTCACAGCGACCAGCCGTCGAGCGCGCTCGCAAGTTAAGCTAACAGTTAACGTTACACACGGTTTGACAAATCTCGTTTTTATGTCGCAGAATATATTAAAGATTCTTTTTAGCAAGAATGTAGTTATGTAGACTTGATATATAATGTTTTTTAATGAAGTAAATGGCTATTTTCAAGAGAATAAGCATTTTCTTTGATGTGACGACAGTGTCCGTGATCCGCCATTCCAAACGAAAAAAGCTTCGTTGCTAACGTTAGCTCAGTCCTTTGTGAATTTACCGTGGCTTTTACTATGGTTAACATTAAGCATGCGTTTAGATAGTTGTGAACGGACAATACCATACTGATTTTGTTATAGAACGATTTGGTCTGGCGTTAGGGCACTACTGACTGTCTTAGGAGGTTGTCGAATGTGTGCCCATACTGGCGTAACATTAACTTTTAACGTAAAGGGCGTCCATTTATAGTTCTTTATTTTTTTACGTGAGATGCTGTAATTATGTCTTTGGGGTTATAATGCACTTAATAGGCTAACTTATATTCACAGCAAGTGTTTATCAGCCACCGATAAACGTCCAGCGCAGGGGTTAACTTAATGTGACTTTTTCCATATTCATAAAGTGCCTTTTACATCAACGACAATGTAATTTAATTAAAATAATATACTTTAAATAAGCTGAAGCAATCATTTAGTTGTTCAAACGTAAAACACATGCAGACGAGTGCTAAAACTTCATGGAAAATATTGTGGTTAAAATAAATTGACATTTTTAAGATATGGCGTTGAAGAATGGAATTTAATGCAGTGCTTTGACTGGTCTGAGACAGACTTTATATCGTATCAATCAGCCAGTGACGATTATCTTAATCATATTAATCACGTTCAGCAATTTGTTCAATAAGTAATTTATCTAAATGTATGTTGCCTAATATAATTAATCGATTAACAATATGTTGATTAAGAAGTTGGTCATGTTGTAACTTGTGCTGAATTTTGAACCTAAATGATAATCATGTGCTTCCTTTCATTTGAGGTACTGTACAACAAGTTTCCTTTGCTGAGTTCCTTGGTCAGGCGTTTAAACACATTTTCTGTCCAGTACTGCAGTTGGAATTTTCCATCAACATTTTTATGGTAAGTAACTGCAAAACATTTATCACTACACATTACAGTAAACAGTTTCTTAACTGAATATGTTGCTCTGAAAAATCTAAATAGTCCCAAAAAAGGAAATTTACTCACTATTCACTCACCATGTTTCCATGGTTCCAAACCTTTGAGTTTCTTTTATCTGTTGAACACAAGACAAAATATTTTGAAGAGTGTTAAAAACCAGTAATCATTGACATTTCATAGTAGGAAAAACATATTATGGAAGTCAATGGTTACCGGTTTTCATCATTTTTCAAATTATCTTATGTTGTGTTTATCAGAACAAAGAAACTCAAACAGGTTTGTGACAAGAATAAGTAAATGTTATTGTTGCTTCCCTAGTTTTCACAGTACTAGGGTGCAGTAAGAGCACAAACACAGAGTTCAACTTTGATTCAACTCCGTGATTCTCTCAAGAGAGGCGACCAAAATGTCTGACCTGCCATAAAATGATTCGACTATCTGCCGACCAAGAGAGGTTATTCACCTTTTTTTTCCTCCTGTACATTGCATCAACACAGCACAGCAAATATCAAAGTTGAAATTTAATTTGATTCAAAGAAGTGTCGCATCAGAATTTGGCTCAAAATTGCACAATAGAAATTCGGCCTTAAGCCTGGTTTTTACTTCTGCGTTGAGTGATTGGCGTGACCTACTGCGCCTGCCCTGCGTGCAGCTGAGCACTTATACTTGTGCGCGCTGTTTGTGTTGTTCTACAATAACACTTACAAAAGCAGTAGGTTTATATGTTCCCTCTGTATGGACTTTCTTCGCTTGGGTTTTGTTTTTTCTGAACACTACCTTAATGAACAAGCGGATAAAACTCGCTCATTCTGAGGCGGTAGCTGGCGGTCATGCAACAACTTTAATCATAAGGTAAACACAAAGCAACAGTTTCCACCTGGAGCTATTTCATGGGACTCTACACTTGTAAACACTAGCTCCAATGGGTTGGCGTGGCTCTCAACCCCGCCCACACACGTAAGCGCTACCAAGCCCACTAATAGAACGTGCGCTACGTGTTGTTGCGATGTGTAGTTACATTTTTGGAGAGATGCGCCACGGCAAGGGCTATTCAACTGCGCGCAGGCTGCGTCGGACCATACACGTGCATTTGACGCAGAAGTATAAATCAGCCTTTACATGTCTTTAATTTTTTAATTTAATATAGTTTTAATTTCTAAATATAACATTTTAAAAATAAATATATAGGCTATGTTCTGAATAATGCTCATGTCCATGCTTGTCATGCCACAAACATACTTATATTCTATGTATTTGACGATGCAGTCAATGCATGCACTGAAAAAAATATGCTTAAAGGCTACCTTTACCTGCAGGTTTCGCTAGCTGGGCAAAACTTAGATAGGCTATTAATAATGGATATACATTAAATATGTATAATTTTATTTGTGAAAGCAAGAGAGAAACTTGTGGGAGTGCTGTAATAAAGGAGTCTCAAATGACTAACAGTTGTGCATTACGGTAACGTGTTTTATTCGGGACATGGCATATGACAAATAATCGATAACATTTGAGCTGGTTTCAGTTATTAATTCTTTTTATTTTTAAAAATATGTTTATTTAACAGGTGGCGCAGTGGGAAGCGCTCTCACCTCACAGCAAGAAGGTCGCTAGTTCGATTCTCGACTGGATCAGTTGTCATTTCTGTGTGGAGTCTACATGATCTCCCCGCGTTCGCATGGGTTTCCTCCGGGTGCTCCCGTTTCCCCCACAAGTCCAAAGACATGCGCTATGGGGGAATTGGGTAAGTTAAATTGTCGTAGTGTGTGTGTGTAAATGAAAGTGTATGGATGTTTCCAAGTGATGGTTTGCAGCTGGAAGGGCATCCGCTGTGTAAAACATGCTGGATCAGTTGGCGGTTCATTTCGCTGTGGCGACACCAGATTAATCAAGGGATTAAGCCGAGAAGAAAATAAATGAATATTTATTTAACTTAATGTTAATATAACACTACTGATGATTTTTAGCTGAATCTGTGGTACATGGTGATCCAAATAATGGCAGCGAATGAGGATGGGTTTTTCAGTTTAAGAATAAAGTCCAAATCTAAAGCCATGGCTCCTGATGAAGGTCCTGTAAAGTGAAACGATTGGTCTGTGTAAGAAATTTAACATTATTTGCAATATTAGCATTAATCCACGGCCTGGTCAAACAGATGGTTTTTGGGTTGTGAGACGTAGTTTAGACGAAGTTGTCGGCGATTCTTCCTATTGTAAAGTCATGCAATGTTCAAGTCCCTGTCGCCGATCCATCTTGCAGTGAAAATAAAGCAGCAACGACTATTTTCAAATTGAACTCGGCATTAGTTAATGAATAAACTTAGAGACCTGGATATCGACACGTCTCTCTGCAACTGGATTATGGACTTTCTGTCTAAAAGACCTCAGAATGTTAGATCAGGCCACATCTGCTCCATCATCTTCACACTCAACCCTGGTGTACCACAGGGCTGTGTGCTGAGACTCTTCCTCTACTTCTTTTTTACTATCAACTGTAGGCCTGTGAATAGATCCAACATCATCATCAAATTTGCAGATGACACCACAGTGATTGGTCTAATCAGCAATAATGATGAGACAGCCTACAGGGAGGAGATACATCATCTGTCCACTTGGCCACTACCAAGCCGACCAATCACAGAGCTTGTGCTACGTGTCGTTGCGATGTGTAGTTACATTTTTTGAGAGGTGCACGTCAGCGACGGCCACGGCGAAGGGCTATGCGTCAGCACCGTAGCATTGGCGTGTGTTTGACGCAGAAGTATAAATCAGCCTTAAGGAACAACACTTTCCTCAGAGCTGTCCCTTTTTCAACTCTATCCCCCACTAATTATTTTGCCCTCCTAATACACCCCCACTGTCCTCATAACTTGTACTCTTCATTATCATTGCACTATTTAACATTTGCACATTTAAAAATTACACATTCATTGCACTACATTAGACTGATTCATTCATTTGAACTACTGTACACTTGTAATTGTTTATCTACCTGTACACTTCTGATTATTAATAGCAACCTGTACATATAATAATTTATTTTAAATTTCTGTTTATAGCTAATACAACCTGTATATAATGCTGATAGTACATCCATCTGTAAATATCACTAAAGTTTTTCTATATCTGCACTTTATAACTTATACCTGTATACTGCACTTGCTGCTATTGCACTGCTGGTTAGACCTAAACTGATTTTCGTTGCATTGTACTTGTACATGTGTAATGACAATAAAGTTTAATCTAATCTAATACATTTCTTAACGTTTTCCAATTTGTCATTTATGTATTTAACTAATCAAATTTGTATTATTTACAGACAACCAATGTCCATGTCAAAAGAGCGTCTATTCTTCAAGCTCTCTTTACCTACCTTGGTGAGGATGAGGCATGCCTGGTGAAAGAATACATGGTGAGTGCATCATAGTACTAGTGCTTGCACCTGGGCTATAAGAAAGAACTGAGGGTGGGGTTACAGTGGCCAATGAGACAAACAGAAACTTTTTTGAGTGCCATATTTGAATTAATAGGTGAACCTAATGTTGAACACATTATGGTCTATTCAAATCACATTGCGCTGCACAAACACTTGCTAGATTCGTGCAAGTAAGTTGCATACTAATTCAATGCAAAAGTATGAATAGAACAATGAACAAAATATTTTAATATCTCAAAAACAAAATTAATAATTTTAAAGAATTTGAAAATAGTGTTTTCACTGTATATGTCAATGGCTTTTTTCTTTTTTCAAATGCTTTCTATTTCCATATATTTATACATGAAGTTAAAAAAAAATGCCATTGGTCACTACACGCGTAAGAGCAACCTATTATCTTTTGCCTCAAACTCTTGCATTGTAATGGTAATACACACTGTTATTGAACCGTGAGAAAACTATCAGCTTGTTGAGTGTGACATCACATCGCTTGACTATATCAAATAGTATTGGGAGACTCAACAAATGGTAATAATAAACATTTACAAAGCGATGTAATACTTTTTGAAAATCACAATATGTGCCTAATATTAGTATGCCTAAAAATACTAAATGATTAAAAGTTGCATATGTTTCTTAATCCTTTGACGTTCTCAGCATTGGGTTCAGATCTGTGTTTGACCCCAGAGATATTCATTGTTTAATCCAGGGGTGTCCAAGCTTGGTCCTGGAGGGCCTGTGTCCTGCTAAGTTTAGTTCCAATTGCAATTCCAATTCCAAGTCCAATTAGACACACCTATGCTAGCTAATCAAGCTCTTACTAGGTGATCTAGAAACTATCTTGCCTCAACACACCTGCAAGGATGAGCTAAAATCGGCAGAACACTGGCCCTCCAAGAAGGAGTTTGGACACCCCTGTTTTAGTCTTTCTAAACAGTATTATTATTTCTAAATTACAAACAAATAGACACAGAATTACAAGTAAACCACTTTTTTTCAAAAAAGAGAAAATTTATGTTTATGTTAAGATTAAAATTACTGTTTAAAAGCAACTTGACTTGTATTACATTTTTAGGTCAATAGGTGGCCGTACTAACAATCAAAAACGTATTGCTGAATAATTCTTCAAAAATGTTTAATCTAATAATGAAACATGACGTTTTTTTAAAGTATGAATTCAAGTTTTAAATTTGTATATTTACTTATACATTTAAAATATACTTAATATATTTAAATTATTTTGGTTTAATTAATGACACGTAAAAATACTAATTAAATAAATATACATGTCTATTAATTTGTCCAATTAAATTTGTTTTATTATCATTGTACTTTTTTTTTATTATTATTTGCAGAGGTCCTGTGGGTCTTTAAAAAGTCTTAAGTATTAAATTAGATTTTTACAATTTAAGGTCATAAAAAGTCTTAAATTTGAGAGGTCTTAAATTTTGCATCAAGGTGTGACATTTCTACTGAATTTCATTCGCTGATGTTTATTTTACTTGTGCACAATTATTCTTAAACCTTGTGTGCTGTTGAGAATATTAATTTGGAGACAGATTTCTTTGTTTGAGCTCATGAAAGTGAGACTTTTGCACACATTGTTTTGAAAGTTGCTTATTTACATTTTTTCAGACATATAGTAAACATAGTAAGTGTATTTATGCACACATACACACACACACACACACACACACTATCATTTACTGTTTATACTCCAAAGAGCTCAAAAAATATAAAAGCCAGAAACTTTTTTGCACAGGACTATCTAAATGGTTATGCTCTCAACTGATCATTAACAGTAAAAATGACAAAATATACATTTACCAAAAAGGGAAGATAACCAGCAACAATGCGTGATTACATGCTGTCATGGATTTGCATCCAAAAAAATGTTTTAATGGAAGTCAATGGGGCAAAAAAAACAGCAACTAACATAAGGAAAGGGTAGTAAATTTAAATAATACAGAAGGGTTAAGGTGAACAATTGTGACCGGGTATATTGATATACAGTGGGTCTGATCAGAAGGTATTTCCACATTCAAGTGGCCAAATCTGTGGTTTTCAAGCCTTAAACCTTGGGTAATATTATTTAAATAATAATGCAATAATGCCTCCTTGACATTATATTTAGTTTTCAACATATTACTGTATTGTTTGCCTTTCAATTATTTTTTCCAAAATTATTTTTAGTTAGTCTTAAAAGATCTTAAATTTACCCTGATAAAACCTGAATAAACCCTGTAAATAATTGTGAAGAAGTCGTACTTGCAGATCATGCACAAATATATGTACGCCAATATGCAATCATAAATGATTGTTATAATATTTCACAGGTATCAATGTGGGTGTGGGGAGGGCCGTTAAGGTTTTGGTTTTATTTACATTTGATTTCTTCTGACTTTTTACAAAATATGTTTCAAAAACAATGTCTAATAATGGTTTCTTTTTATTTAAATATAGGGCAATCAAAAAGAAGAATTTTTGAAGGACCTGACAAACACCGCCATGGCCATATGTGTCATCAAAAAGGAAAGAGGAGATTATGAGGACATTGGCATCGTTGTGGATGGAACAGTGATTATTGAACAGATAAAATCTGTTGCACAAGCCTGTGCACTGATGTTGGGGGCAATTTATGTGCTTGATTTGGCCTACCCAAAAGAACTCAAATACTATTACGAGTTTGCCCAAAAAGTACTTGTGCAAATGAACTCTGACAAGCTCTCCTCAAAGGTTCTCATACTGGAAAACAGTGTGATACTGTAATTTTAAGCATTGAAGTGTTAATAAATGCTCAACAACCAAATGTATATCATATACAAATTGCAGTTTAGTGTAGGAATTGTTTAATAAGTGAATTCAGTTTTCTTTGTGTGGAAAATTAATTAGCTGTAGGAACTTGTTTTAAATGGTGTGCGTGTGTGTGTGAGAGAGAGAGAGAGAGAGAGCATGTGCATTCTATAAACTTTGTATTTATTCCATTTCATACAACTTGTAGTTGCTCAATTTGTTAATGAGTTAATTTTTTAAGTTAATTAGTTGATTATTTTGTGTATTGGGGTGTGTGTGTGTGTCATAAGGATTGCCGTTTGCTCCAAGACTTCATACAGTTTTCTTTTATGTGTTGGTTTAAATTAAATGTGCTTTACAAACTGTTTATTGTGTTATGGTGTGCTGCTAAAGCATTTTTAGGCAGTGATTTATGTTTTGTTAAAAAAAAATGCATCTTAAAGTCATTAAAATGAATTAAAAACAAATGTGGTCAAGTGTCATTTCAAAGTGTATTTGCAAGCAATTTAATGATCATTTTAGACATAAAAAATAAATAGATATAAGTAGGAATAATATAATTAAATTATAGTGAACTAAATGAATTTCATTAGATAAATGTAACTAAATAAAATTGATTAAATCCAACTTATTTTGATTGTTTAAATCCAACACATATAAATTGAGTAAATCCAACCTAATTTGATTGTTTAAATCCAACACATATAAATTGAGTAAATCCAACCTAATTTGATTGTTTAAATCCAACACATATAAATTGAGTAAATCCAACTAAAATTGTTTGCTTAAACTTAACCCAATTTAATTATTTGCAACAGCTTGCCTTAAAAAAATTAAGTAAATCCAATGAATCATTTTTTTCAGTGCAGTTAGCTTACCATATACGTTGGCGGACTAGAGATGCAGAGAGGAGATGACCACGATGACGAGGTTCGATTCAAATTAAAAACTGTTCTAGAAAGCGAGTAAGACAAAAACAAAAGCCAAAAAAAATATAATACACAAGTAAATAACAGGGTGAGAATGGGGTAAAATGTGGTAAAACTCAGACAAAGCCTTTTCTTTTTCTGAATTGCTTTTTAATTTTGTCGGTTGGGTTTAGGGAAGTGGGTGGGTGGGTCAATCTATGCTTTTTAAAATACTATTGGTTGGGTTTAGGGAAGGGGGAGAATGGGGGGGGGGAGGTCGGTCGGTCAGTCAGCCAGTCAATCAGTCAAACAATCAGTCTACAGCGGCCTCTGGTGGATTTACAAGAGAACAGCAGGTGCAAATGGCACTCCTGAAGAAATTTGAGATCTTCAAAAGTGGACACAGTGTACTATAGACTGGCATTATGCAAATTAGATCAACCTAGGGTGGTGCACTAAATAAGACTGGAATTACTGACGACTTGTTTCAGGCTGTTCAAAGTCACTCTTTTTTTCTGAGACAATAACTCTATTTATATACAGCCACACACCCTTTCCCCCATTGTGATGCTGAGCAGAAAGTCTCGTCTTGCCCTTCTTGAGGACATTAGAAGTCAGTGAAAACTTGCGCTGTGGCCTTTTGGAGCTGTTTTGATGGATGTTATGAACTATAAGCCAGAATGACAGAAAAGCTGATGGACCACATTCAGAGATCCACCGCCTTCAGGTACTGACCTTTACACTTGACGTGCACACTGTAATATATGAACACATGTGAGTCTTGCAGGCACTAGAAGGTACTGATATGGTTCAGAATGAAAAAACTGGTGTACATTATTGAACATTAAAAGAGAAATTTTACACAGAGAAACCGTTATGCAGTTAATTTGTATGTTTGTTTTGGCTGGTTATGAAACATTCCATGCTTTTCAGTTAAACAAAGCATAGAAATTTGTTCAATTAATAGTGAGACTTGAAGTTAATCGTTTTGAAAAAAAAGTGTGTAAGAAATAATTCTAAAATAAACAAATAAATATACACTGCAAAAAATGCAATACAAATAAAGATATTTTTCATATTTATAGGCCAACTATTTAAAAATTACGGAACCCGGAAGGGACGTAGTGGAGGAGAAAAAAATTGGCTGGTGAAAAAAAAATAATGGGTGAAAGAAAAAAAATGGGTGGGAGGAAAATATATATTTCTAAGTTTTTGCGTTCTCTCGCAAAGTTTTGCGTTCCCTCGCAAAGATGTTTTGCGTTCTCTCGCAAAGTTTTGCGTTCCCTCGCAAAACTGTTTCTCCACAAACACTTCCTGTTCACTGCACTCACGTTAACCCTCCCGTTTTTGCCAAAATTCTCCCGTATTTTACCATTCTATCCCTTTCTTTAAATTACTCTGCGTCGATCGTCGCCTTTCATATGCTACCTCTGAACCAGTGAATGCACGTATAAGCGCTGACTGACATACGCACTCCATACAATAAACTGATCCCAGATCAGCGTCTGTACATGCCATTTACAGAGGAGCACAAAGGAGCGGGTGTATTTAAACAGACAAATACACTGAATAATATGTAAACATCTCCGTCCTGCATGTTTTATTGTAAACAGCTTATTTTCTCTTAAATGAGCACAAACAGTTTCTAATGTAATGGAATGCTTTCATTATTGATCTGTGCATTCTTACAGAGACACCTCTGTTATCAAACTAAACAAAACATGAGATTCATTTGCTGCTCACTTGTTTGATAACAGAAGTGTCCCTTTAAATGGCGCGTACAGACGCTGATCTGGGATCAGTTTATTGTACGGAGCGCGTCTGTCAGTCAGCGCTTATGCATTCGCTGTTTCAGAGGTTGCAAAGTAAAAGGCAACGATCAACGCACAGATTTAATGTAAAGAAAGTGGGGTAAAATGGTAAAATATGGGAGAATTTCGGCAAAAACGGGAGGGTTTACATGAGTGAAGTGAACAGGAAGTGTTTGTGGAGAAACAGTTTTGCGAGAGAACGCAAAACATCTTTGCGAGAGAACGCAAAACTTTGCGAGAGAACGCAAAACATCTTTGCGAGGGAACGCAAAACTTTGCGAGAGAACGCAAAAACTTAGAAATAAATATTTTCCTCCCACCCATTTTTTTCTTTCACCCATTATTTTTTTTTTTTCACCCAGCCAATTTTTTTCTCTTCCACTACGTCCCTTCCGGGGTTCCGTAAAAAATCCTTAAATCAAGAAGCATTTTCTAGACATACAAAAATATTCTGTTGATTTAAGAAATATTGAAGCAAAATTGGGTGTTTTTTTTTTTTTTTTTGTAAAGAAACTAAATAATCTGCCAATGAGGTAATCTTGTTTTTCCTTTTTGACATAAGATTGCTTACCCAATCGGCAGACTATATTGCTGGTTTTAAGAAAAAACTCACCTAATTTTGGAAAATTATTTCTTAAAAGACGACAATATGTTTTGCTTGTTGTCTCGATTTAATAATTTTTAGAAAAAAGACAACAAAAAAACCTAAGTAAAACCCTTTAGGGGTCAGACACATATTGCGTTTTTTCCCGTGCGCAAGTTTGTCATTTTCAACGGAGGATAATGAGAGGATATTGGAAGCGACGCGCGCAAAAATGCCACGTGACAAGAACTGACAGAGCAGCTTTTTTAGCAGTGCTTTTTAATTTTCCCCATAAATAAGCAATGTATGGTCAGCTCACCATCTTCTGAGAAAATGGTTGATGGCCACTAAGAAATCTACGTAGAACCCATGTAACATCTTCCCCAGCCATTGTATGCTATAGGTTGATAAGAGATAACCTCTTTGTTTTCCTTCTCTAAATATAAATAACTAAATAAATAAATACTCATTCTTTGAATTCATAATTATCTGAGGTAAAATGAGCAGTCATAATCTTTTCCGCATATTTTATACATTTAAATTCCACAAGTACACTTCTATGAACATGTACACATAGCCATCATGTATATACCAAATAACTGCAGGTTACCTATGCTTATATAAACACTGACTTTACCAGTTAAAAGCTATTAGTTACTATCTAATTAGTTGAAGTTATTAGTAACTAATAAAGTTATGGTAACTACATGGATACATTTTCTGAATGTGATTGTAATGCTGTGATGTGCATCTTTTGTAAAGCTGCTATGAAACAATATTGAAAAGTGCTACACAAATAAATGTGAATTTAATACATTCACACTTCATTCATTCATCAGCATGCGGCATATTCTGCCATCAACCAAACAGTTTACTTCCACTATTCACAATCTTTCTCATTTCTTTTCAAATGTTCATCCTCGAAAACACCAGAGCTGTTCTGAAGGATCCGTGTGTTCTAGATCACGTTCTAATTCTCAGGCAGTGTTTGACTAATCAGAAGCAGCGAGTACCCGGAGCGCTGAGCCTGACCACTGCTCTAAAGCCAGCAGTAATTGGACCTCCAGGGAGGAGAGAGGCTGCTCATGTGACCGCCGTCCCATTCTCTGGGGTCCCGATGCAGCACTACGAGCGGCTCCACAAAGACTCTCCAAATGCAAGCCACATACAGCTTAGAAACATCATGCAATACTGTTTTCTCTGCTGTCCACACATAGATGCATCGTGCATGTGATCACTACAATAGTACAAGGATTTTCCTTTTACTGGAAAACTGTCGAATTTAAAATGAATTGTTTGCAAAAAAATCTACACCTGAAAAGGATCAAATACTTTTTAGAGGGAGTTATGGTTATTATCTGCCTATTATTAAGTATATATGGAAATTATTTGCCAAATTTAACTGCAGTTTGGCACTTTCACTTTCATTCAGGAAC